AGAGGAAAACGTAGTGCAGACCCCGAATGCTGGGAGGGGGACCACCAGGGCGGCTGAGAAGGCACCTTCAGGTGGCTCAGAGTGGGGAGCACTTAGCAAGCCCTGGCAGGGGGGTGACGGCCCCACTGCTCCTCTGCTGAAGCGTGAGGGCTCTGTTCCCGTGGCCTCTGGGTCTGCCTCTGGGGGTGGGCAGCTGCCCCTCTGCGGGCCTGGGCAGGTGGACAGTGGGGGCTCCCCTGTGTCAGCCTGCTGTGGGGGTTTCTGCTTCACTGTCACGTTCCTTGGCTGCCCAGCCCCTGGTGTCGGCTCCCCAGGCTGGCTGAGTGAGCCACTCGAGCGCCAGCCAACTGGGGGGAGGTGGGGGGCACACTGGGCACACTGGGCAAACGCGCGTCCCATCGGCTGCAGCCCCGTGTTTCGGGCTGACTCCCTGCCGGCCTCTGCCCGCCTGGCTCCCTCTCCAGTGCCTTCAGAGTTTTTATCATTTCAGTTAATAGCCGTTGTCTCTCAGAGCCGTGTTAGGGCCACGGAAAACCAGGTGAGGACACGGCCCCTCAGGGTCTCCTCCCAGCGGCCCGTCATTGGCCTGTTGCCCAGTGTGGTGCGTTTGTCACCAGGGAGCCCGAATCGACACACCGTTGTTAACTGAGGGCCACAGTCCATGTCCCAGGCCACTCTTGGTGGCGTCCCCACCTGCACAGGTATTTTCCTATCTCCCAGACTTCACGCTGGCTGTGTGACGGAGGCCGCATCTCCTGACATGGTTTGTCCGACTTCCTCAGAAGCATTTAGTTTTGATTCATACGTAAGCTTTTCCCTGGTCTCTGGAAGCGTGACAGAAGCCCTGTACGTAAAGGGACTTCCCTGGGAGGCCATGGCAGGAGGTCTGACGGGCCGATGGCTGCAGATGGTCAGGCTGTCGTCTTGCTGCTTGCGTGTTGTGGAGACGCCATGGTTCTGTTTCTCGCTGTCGTCAGGAGTTAAGGTCTGGAAACCAGGGTGGAGCAGGCGAGTAGAGAACCCGCGTGAGGAACTGGGGGCACCGGGGCCGGGGCTGTCCAGAAACTCACCGCAGTGCCCGGAGTCCGTCGGGAACTTCCTGGCTGTGAACTCCTCTTATCTGGAAGACGGAGCCACAGATAAAACTGACCAGACAGTCTCATGTCTGACTGCCCAGCACAGCCGCTCCGTGCGTCTGGCTCTGCTTTCTAGGCGCTGATGAAAAAGCGGCAGGCCTGGCAGCTGAAACTGCCTCCCTGCCCCCAAGCCCTGTGTGGATGTTCACATGTCACAGCAGGGACCCTGCAGGGGGCTGAAGCCTCCCAAGTTCTTAGGAATAAAACCACAGGCGGTGACAAGTGCACCACGGGAGGGTGGCTATGCGGGCAGCTCTGGGAAAGCAGGAACTGCAGGAGGGCTGTCAGGGCGTCTGGCCTGGGTCTCGGCAGGTGGCTGGGTGAGCCAGGTGAGCTTGGAGCCACTCAGGACGATGGGGGAAGTGGTGGCTGTGTGGCCGGGTCACAGGCAGGACCCAGCACTGAGGCCTCGTGCCCCTCCTCAGAGCGGGGCCTGTCCCACGAGCCCTTGGGGTGGACGTGTGTTCAGTCGTGGAGGAGTGCAGGCAGCCAGGTGTGTGCTGAGGGTCTCCTGTGCCTGGACCTGTACGAGGCCCAGTCACCCACGGAAGGATGCGTCACGTGGGCGCACCGGAGGGAGTTTCAGCATCTCACCTTCCCTGGGGGCAGTGGGGGCAGTAGAGGTGAGGCAGAGAGCTGCAGGGTCCCGCACGCTGGAGGACTGCAGAGAGGGGTGAGGAGCTGCCCTCCGGGCACAGGGAGGGGACTGCTGTGTCCCAGGGCCTCCTGCCTGATGGAGAGGCCGCTGGGCCGAGCTGCAGCTGGTAGGCCGCTGCGCTGGGGGCTTTGTCCTCTCCAGAGCGCTGAGGGCAAGCACGGCAGGGTCTTAGGAGAGGGGCTCACACTGGAAAGGGGTCCCCTGGACTCCTGGGGAGGCTGGTTTAGAGCGGGCCTGGGGTGGAGGGGAGATGGCACGATCGTCATGTGGAAGTGGGTCCCCCCACTCCCCCAGGCACCGAGCCGGAGCCCAGCCAGGGGCCTGCAGAGGAGGCAGAAAGGGGTCACCGGCCCGGGCATCAGCCGTTGCAGGCAGGGCGCTGGCTTTGCCTGGTCCCTGTAGGAGATGACAGAAGCCCAACAGGTGGACGATGTTCAGGACTGCGAGTGCGAGGTGCATCCCACACTCGCGTGACCAGCAGCGTCGTGGGTGAAGGGCCACCGTGCAGCCTCTGGCTCTGGGCTCAGACTGTCTGATGCTTTGTCTGGCTCAAAATGGAGCCTCAAGATGGACTGAAGCTAGTTGTGCAGGTGGTAATGGTTAGTTATTGAGATGCTCTTGTGGTAGGTTAGACGTGTACCCATGGCGTGTGCGCGCACACACACACACACACACACACACACACACACACACACGCACGCACACACCCGCTGTGCCGTCTGGCCGGGCCCTGAGCAGCGGGCTTTCCCGCCCTGCCCGCTTCCCGGCACTGGTCTACTTTCTGACTTGTGCCGTCGGTGTGGAGGGTCGGCGCTGGGCTGGGACATGCAGGCCTGAGCCACACTCTGTGCTCCCGTGAGTGTCTTTGAAGGATCCTAAGGTACCAGTGCAGTGCCTCTGGGTCACCTGCTGCAGACGCTGTCACAGGGGCAGGCTGTGACTTCCTCCCCATGACTGGGAAGGAGGATGCGAGTGAGTGTGTGGGTGGCCGTGTGCGTGTTCTGTGTGTGTGTGTGGGGGTGAGTCACACGTGCACTGCGTGTGTGTGCGTGTGTGTGTGTGTGTGTGTGTGAGAGAGAGAGAGAGAGAGAGAGAGAGAGAGAGAAAGAGATTTTCTTGTGTGTGTATGTGTCGGTATTAGCATATCTGGACACAGGAAATGTCTTTGGAAAACTTTTAAAAATGTTTTTGTGTGTGTGTGTGTGTGTGCGTGCGTGTATGTGTGTGTGTGTGTGTGAAGGCACAGCTGATGGAGAGGCGGCCCTGCAGGGTGCAGACGCTGGGCGTCCTCAGTTGGCCTCTTTCCCATACAGGGTGCGGCTGTCTTGTCAGGACACTTGTCCAAAGCCAGGCTGCCTCTCCTCTCCTCCATGTTGCTTCTGCCCCCCGCACCCCATGTTTGCTGACTGCTTGGGGGGTCTCAGTCCAGCAGTGCTTTTCCTGAGGACAGAGAGCCCCGCTAGGCAGAGGTGGCAGGAGGGGCGGGTCCGGTCTGCGTGGTTGGGGGATCTCCTGGGAGCAGGCCCTTCCAGGGAGGCAGGGATCATGTGAGAGGGCTGTCCAGCCCCCAGGCTCACCTGTCACAGTGACCTTGCTCGGTCGTGAGGTCCTGGCGCGCACATGATGTCCGAGGGGCTGTGAGCCAAGTCGGTCCCGCCTGCACAGGTTCAGGGCAGCAGCCTTCGGCGAGCAGCGTCCAGGGACAGGCGCTGCAGGGCCCTGGGGTTGGGCCATCACGGACCGGCCTCGCGTCATTGCTGGCTGTGCAGACCCCTGACATGTTGACACCCTGCAGCGCTCAGGGAGAAGTTCCGGCCACAGTTCAGTCCGACCGCACTCTTAGATCTACCCGTAGGAGCTTCGTTTACCTAAGCGAGTCCCCAGGTCTTTATCGGCAGGCACGCCGCCCTGGTGGGGCTCCTGGTTGGGCCCGGATTCCAGCAGCTCAGAAGCACGCCCCTCCGTGTGTTGGTGGAAACTGTGGATCGATACTGGAGGACTCCTTGTGCACTGTGTAGGTTTTGAAACCCTGCTCACTGGGGCCAGTCCTGGTCCAGGTTTCAGGGAGAACCTGCTATTCCCATGAAGCCCAGGAAACGGACTTCCTGCAGATGGCTGCCCTCTTCTCAGCCCCCATCAGTGCAGCTCTCGCGTGGGTGCTCTGGGGCGCTGAGGCTCAGGGCTGCCCCTGTGGGATGGGGTAGCATAGCTGAGACCTCAGCATGTGCTCACCGCACGGGGTGGCCCCCGCGTGTCTTGTTCCATCCCGCTGAGGGGCAAGATCTAGAGATTATCTAGACTTTTGACCAGCAACCCCACGGCAGGAACGCAGCTGCTTGGAGGAGGCGGGCTGTACGCGTGACACGGTGCGTGTCCATCAGTGGGGGGCCACCGTGGCACGTGACAGAGCTGGGGGCATGGCAAAAAGGTGCCCATGCTGTCCTTAAAGTAAAGGCCAGGCTGTGACAATGTGAGTTCTGTGGGCCTTTCCACGTGACCGAAGTCCCGCGGTGCGTCTGTGAAAGTGTGTGTCCCGCAGCGTGCAGAGACGGAGCTCACACTGGGACAGTCGCTTTGTCCCCCTGCTCTGCGTGTTCTCACGTTATCTGAATAGTGTGCAGTGAGGAAGTACTGATACATTGAACATTAACCTGCTGCTGTTTGGTTTTTAAAATAAAAATATAATCAGGTTAAAATTTTTTATAAATTATAATTAGTCCATTTCTTTTGTCCAGTTAGGAACTCCTTCAAGTGTGTGAGTTCCCTCTAATATCTAGGGCTAAATCAATGAACTGTTGTTAATTAAAAGATTTTTTCCTTTTTTTGGGGAGTGCTTTAATATGTGCAAAGCACATTTGTGTAAGAGTCTCATGCCCCATCTCACGTGATCTTTACTGAAGCCCCGCTTTCCAGATGAGGGGCAGGGTCCTGCAGGGAAGGGGTGGGGGTGGGGGTGGGGGTGGCCGCCCCCCGCCTGCTGGCCGCGCCTCTGCCTCCGAACCCACAGAGCGGAAGCAGCAACTCCTCCTTTAGTTGGTTTTTACAAATAAGGTTAGAAACGGGCCCCAACAAGATGCCCTTGGCCCTTGGTCTTCCCGCCTGTGAAACGGGGAGGGGACCCGGGTGACCCCCAAGGCCCGGCGGCGCCTGCACCCTGAGCGGGGACCCTCGCAGCTCTGACCAGTCTCTGCTTCCCTCGCAGTACGTCGGGAGCCTGGACGTGCCGCGGCCCAACAGCAGAGTGGAGATCGTGGCTGCCATGCGTCGGATCCGGGTGAGTGCTGGTGGGCGTGGGGCTGCGTGGGTGTGGGGCAGAGTGGGCGTGAGGCTGCATGGGGTTGGGGGCTGTGAGGGATCAGGGGTTGCGTGGGCGTGGAGCTGTGTGGGGTCAGGGGCTGTGTGGGCGTGGGGCAGCGTGGGCGTGGGGCAGCATGGGATGGGGCAGCGTGGGGACAGGGGCTGCGTGGGCATGGGGCAGCGTGGGCGTGGGGCAGCGTGGGCCCGGGATGCAGGCTCTGGGCTCCGCCCGCTCACCGCTGCTGCTCGGAGCTGGTGTTGACCTTGAATGCGGCGAAGGTCGACGTGGGTGCGGCGGCTGCAGGTCCTCGCCCTGCGCCCGGAGCGCGTGTGCACAGGACGGAGAGGCGTCTTTGTGTGGAAGGACTTTAGTGAGAAAGGTTAGGCAGCTGGCGCCGGTCGACAAGACGGTAAAGGCTGTGAAGCCGTTTACTGTGGTGTGTCCGGGATGGACTTGGGTTTTAGGAGCAACCGTGGGATTTCCACAGGTTTTCTCCAGCCGGGGAAGCGCTCGCTGGCTCTTCCGCCGCGCGGGGCGCTGTTCCGTCCCGCCCACTGCTTCCCCTGCGGAGGGGCTGCCCCGCGTGTGCGTTTGGGGGTCCGGGGGGTCAGGCGGCCGGCGAGGAGGTCGTGTGGCTGCGGCTGGGCGAGGCAGTGGCGGGCGGTGCAGAGCGAAGCCCTGGAGAAGCTGCAATCGCCATCTCGGGTGGGGGTGTGGGGGGACCCTGCCTGCCCTCCGCCTCCTGTTCATCGTCCCCTGTCCCTGTTCACGTGGGTCCTCTAGTCACGTCACGTAGAATGTCTTTTAAAATGCTCGTTATCTGTCGGGAATAACTTCGTCCCCTGAACTCTGCTTCCGGTCACACCCCCCCGACCCTCCCCCCTCTGACAAGCACCCTTGTGACGCCCGTGGGCGCCCCTGGTGATCGGGGTAACCTTCCCGTTTGGAGTCTTCATCACAGCGGCTGAGGCGGCAGATGCAGGGTCCAGGGATGGGACGTGGACGTCTGTGGGGCCGTTATCCTGCCAACCCACCCGCCTCACTTGTTGTCTGCCAACAAGGATCTGCTGAGTGGTGGGGCCCCGACCAAACCAGCCGCGGGTTCAGACCTGGCCGGCCCCCCCATGCTGGCTGCTGGGTACTGGGTTCACTCACATCATCCCCGACCCGGCCATGACCCAGGCGAGGGGATACCCAGCAGCACTGGACGGTGTCCTGCTCCTTGTCCCACAGGGACCCAAAGGTCTGTGCAGAGGCCAGCTGGCAGAGGAACAGGAGAGATGGTGCAGGAACAGCTGGCTGAGTTCGGAGAGGTTCCCCGTGCGCCTCAGCTGGCCCCACGCCGGGGCTGGTGTGCGAGTGGGTGACTCCAGCAGCCACATATTCGGCGTGATTTGCATGTCCTTTGTTCCCAGACACTAACAGTCCCTGGCAGTGCACGTGTGGCCTCCTCGGGAAGGAGCCGTGTGTGGTCAGCAGAGCTCTGACCGTGGACGGATGACAGTGGGCTCGAGTCCCGTCCTTGACTTGATGCGTAACCTTGGGGAGGCGCCTGACCGCCGTTCACCTCCTCGTTTGTTAGAGGGAGAGGCGAGCCTTCTTGTTCGGTCTCTGGTGCCATGTCGAGTCCGGAACGATGCCTGAAAAACACCTGGTAACCGCAAAGGGCCTTTTGTGTTGTTAGTGTCACGTTTATCCCTTCCTTTGGTTTTCATAGCGTTTCCTAAACGCAGAGCAATGCCCTGAGCTGCCCCGTCCAGCTCCTCTCCGCCAGCGTCCCTCGCAGCTGTCAGTGCAAACCACACTTCCGTGGGGAGCCCCCACCAGGCCCATCTGTCCTCTCCAGGGTCTTGTGCCCCTCCCCCTGGGTAGAGTTTGTCACAGCTCCCTGCCTGGCGTCTGGTGGGGCCACTGCGTGCAGTAGGCTCTTGTAGAGCGACAGAAAATTAATCTTAATTGATGTCCATGTGCGCACAAGGCATTGAAACCCGGGAGGCCCCACCGATGGGGTGTGGGGAAGAGGGCTGTGCCGGGAAGTCAGGCCTGACCTGCACCTTTGCGAAGGACGCAGTGGGGTGCCCGGTGGCTCCGGTGGGCAGGGCAGCTGTTGTCCCATCTCCCTCACCTTTGGAACTTGCTCCTGGAAGGGATGTCTCTGGGGGCAAGGGGAGGCATCTTGCTGGGCCTGCAGTGCCGGAAAGGGGCTGGAGACCGGATTTCCGGCTGCCAAAGCACGGGGGGCAGACCCCTGCAGCAGAGGTGGGGTGTGGCTGCTTGGAGGTACCTGCCCTCCGCTGTGGCTCCTGTGGCCGTGGGCTGCCTGACTGGGTTCCTGGCCACACCGCCGACGGCTCCCACAACGGGGTCAGTGTGGGGTCCGTTTCCCACGGCATGCTGGTTGATTCCTCAAGGGCGGCCGCTCAGCATTGGTGTTGGCCAGTGGCCTTGAGCGATGGGCTGGTGACCAGGACAGGCCACGTTCTCCTCTCCCACAGCCCCTGTCTGGTACTGCCAACTCTTCCAGAAATTTCTCTCAAGAAAAGACAAATATGAAATGGCCCTGGATGATCTTGGGAGAACTACAGGGACTGGATGGCCTGGTGGCTTTGCGGGCAGCACTGCAGTGGTGAGTGCCTCCCGTGTCCCCACAGGCATTCGGCGACTGCACAAAGTCCCTTCCGACACAGCCATGTACTTTACCTCCTCTGAGGCTCTGTGCAGGCGTCACCTCGTCACTTTATCTAAGTCTGTCCCTAAGTGGTCCCCTCGGCATCATTTGCTCCTTTGTCATCAGCTGCTCCCCTTCTCTTCCTGAGTCGGCGAGTCTCCCTGCGAACAGCCTGGGTTGTGACACGAGCCTCTCGCTGTGGCCTCACGGTCCTGTTTCCTCTCGTGCCGGAAACATGGTGGCTTAAAGCTGCAGTTTATTATTTTACAGCTCGGGAGGTCAGAGTGTGACATGGGGCTAAAATCAAGGGATCAGCAAGGCTGCTTTCCCTCCCGGCCTCCGGGGAGCGTCTGAGCCCCCACTTCTCCAGCTTCTCGAGGCCTCAATTTCTGGGCCGTTGTCCTCCTCCCAGCCGTGGTGACAGCAGCTGACTTCAGCTCTGGCTCTCCTGTCCCCACGGTCCGATGAGCCAGGACCTTCCCCCATCTCAAGGTCCTCAGCTTACTCACACCTTCAGAGTCCCTTTTGTCACATAAGTAGCATGTTCACAGGTTTTGGCAAGGCCATCACCATGAGCCATTACTCTCTGTCCACAGTGGATCACAATGAGTTCAGATCCTGTCCCTCTGCTGGACCAGCGACCTTGGACAAGTCCCTGCCCACCCCCCAGCCTCTGTGTAACCACTGGCCAGGCTGGGACGTCTTCTCGGCAGGTGTATGTTTCAGGTGCACGCGAGTGCTGGGCCAGGCGCCCTGCACTCTCTAAGGAGTGTGCACCGGGCAGGGCAGCGGGCTCAGAAAACCGTAAACGTTTGCAACGAGAGACGTCACCTTCGTGCACCACTTACATCCGCTCGCTTTTAGGGAGACGTCTTACCGCGCCGTTCACGCTCGGGTACAGGTAACAGTAAGGAAGCACCTTACCACGCTGCAGCGATTCATGCTCAGGTGCGGGCACCGCGTCGAACGGGGCTGCCCAGCCAGTCTGGCCCCTCGCACAGCCTACTGGATGCTGCGGGTCTCTCTGAGACCAACAGTGCTCACCTATCACAGCAGGTGTGAAGCAGGCCGGCTCGCTGCTGTCGCGCTCACCAGCCTCTGGGGACCCGTTTGCTCACGTCCCTGCCTTTGGAACAGGTTGCACTGAGCGGCCACTCCTTGTTATGGTGACGTTTATGGACTAAGACAGCGGTTCTCAACTTGGGGGTCGAATGACCCTTTCACAGGGGTTGCCTAAGACCATCGGAAAACAAAAAGATATTTACATTACGATTCATAACAGTAGCAAAATTATAGTTATAGAGTATCAACGAAAATAATTTTATGGTTGGGGGTCACCACAACACGAGGAACTGTATTAAGGGGTCGCGGCGTTAGGAAGGTTGAGAACCGCTAGACTAAGACATATAAGTACGTAACAGAATATGTATCATTTTAACCGTCTGTGAGGACAAGCCAGTGGCCAGAAGGCCACCCTCCCTGCTCTGGGCCCCTCACCAGCTGACACCCCAAACATTTTCATCATCCTCAGCATGAGCCTATCCACAGTAACTGCCCCCATGCCGCCTTCTGTCTGCGAGTTTGCCTGTTCTCGGTTCCTTACCTCAGTGCGATCTCATACGTGTTTGTTCTGTGTCTGGCTTATTTCAGTGAGCGTGATGTTTTACAGAACCGTCCATATTGGGGTGTGTATCAAGTTTCATTCCTTTTTATGGCTGGCTAGTCTTCTGTGACGTCCTGCACCCAGCTCACTCTGCAGGTGTGTGGCTTTTCCCTTTGTGACCAAAGTGGCATATTACAGGCAGGGACGCATTTACAGCCGTGGGATGAAGCGCCGTCAGCATCCGCTGAGGCCCAGGTGCCCGGAGGGAGCCTGGGCGCCAGCCGAAGGGCCGGCCGGTCGTCACTTACATAGCGCGCGTCAGCTGTACGTCAGTTTTCATGTCCGTTGTCATCTAATCTTAGTGTCCAGTAACCCCCTGTTTTCAGATAAGGGTCACTGACTTGCTCAAACTGATGCAGTTTTTCTGTCTGCGGTAATAACCAGCCTTGAGCACAGCTGGTGCTGTGTGCCATGTTACCACATCCTGCTCTGGGCACAGGGCATCGTGTGACTTGATCCATGTGGTGTGATTGTCACCCCATTTCTCAGATGAGGAAACTGAGGCATAGACAGGTAAAGTAACTTGGCCTGGTCACAGAGCTGGTAAGCGGGACCTGGGGTTCAGCCCAGAGCTCGCGGCTGGGACAGCGCCCAGGCAGGACTGTGGTCTGTTTGCTCCCGGCTTGGAGACCCCCGAGAACTCGC